AAATGGGTGTAGTGATAGACAGGAGGATTGTGAGTGTAAAGAACCCTTATGTGTACAGATCTTTACATTGTGACATGAAATAATTTATCAGAAACTCATTCACTTTCCTTGCCAAAAAGTAAGTGCTCAGTGTAATTTAGGTTGTTCAAGTAAACAGAAGTGTTGCTGGAATTCCAGCAAAAGGGACTCTTTCACTGTGGTGTGTGGCTTTCTCAGAGTCCTGTAATAGGCAGAGGCACCTCTGTTATTTTTTCAACTTGTTTTCTACAAAATCTGAGCATCTGAGAGACTGGCAATCCAGTTTGTTATAAAACTGTGCATAGTGTCCCTGGCGAGCTTTGCAGTGTTAAGAACTTCGAGTGGGAGAAGGTGTTATTTTTTATGGTGGGTTGTTTGGCTGGATTTTTTGTTTGTTTTATGAGAAAGGATAATAGATGTTGTGCTTGATTTGGAACCTTAGCAAAAGAAATCTTATGGCCTTTTTTACTGTGGTATTAGCTAATCATCTTGTGTAGTAAGGCAACGGAGAGACAAATGGAGTGGCAGGATCCTTGCAGATAAAAGCATGTGAAAGACTATTTTATTGTTGTAATTAAGTTTGCAGGACTTGGATCACAGCCACTTCCTACAGACTCATTTAGATGTTTTAGTGTGGAATCCAGTGAGGTGGAAAGCACCTACAGATCTTTGAGTGATTTTGTGAATTAATGGAGGGGTTGGTGGGAGGAGAACCAGGATATCAGAGCTGCTCTCAAATCTGCTGTTCCTTACTAGTACATTTCTGTGTCTGTCATCTGATTCTAGCAGAGTCCTCTGAGCCTGAGGCGGTGTGCTGGGAGGCTGTCTAATTACGAGTGCCTGGCAACTGCTTTCTGCTCATCTTCAGTGACAGACTGGGAACATATAATCTTAAAAGATTTCTGAAGAAAGAAATAATGTCTGCGTTGTGGATGTTTCTGAATAAAACATAGGCGTGAAACTGCATGTATTAATGTGTATATAAGCAGGGACATATGTATTTTAATATATATATTACAGTAAAGATGTTTGGCAGAGGGAGTTGTGGTTTTTTTTTGCTTTGGTTCTTTTTCCCTATCTCCTGTCCCTGGGCATGCATTTCCTTTTCTGATTCAAAAAATTGAGTTCTGTCAGCAGATGTGTTGTTCATCTCAAGGCTTCTGGCTGTAACTTTTTGGAGAAAGGAAGGAGGAATTAGTTCCATTATAATCTGTGGCAGAAAACTAAAGGAATGTATTTTTTTATTCTGTGTCCTTTGTCAAAGTTTTTAGCTAAAATCTAATCCTTTCGGAGGGATTTTGTATTTGCATTGTATGGAAGTGTAAATGCACTAGGATGGTATCTTTTTTTCTTGAAGGAAATGCAAAAACTCAGTGTCTGAAGTAGTAAAAGCACAGTAAGACAGAATATATCAGTCTTAGGTAATTGTACTTACCATGGTGCTGCAGGTGGACTTAGACTAGAAGACATGAGTTGGTATCTGTGGGACAAGAAAGGCATTTCTAAGATCTAACAGAAAACCTAACTGCTCAGCTAAGTGCCTTGCAATTAACCATTTCCAACTGAAAAATCAGATTCTGCTTTCAGCTACTGGAGAGTTTGGATTAACTTCAGTATAAATAGTTTTTTTTTTCATTGCTGTGGACAAGATGGTAGATTCTGTCAGCAAGAAATGATGGGTTTGCTTTGCATTGATACTGCATGTTATAAAGAGACTAGACTTTTGTCCTGAGAAAAGCAATGTCAGTAAGCAGCTGGTAAGAGCTGTGACTCTGCCCTCACTTTGATCCTGCTAAGCCTCCGTCACTGCAGTAAGATTGCTTCTTGACAGCAAATGGCATCTAGGATACAGCATTGCACCCTGTCATGTGCCTTACAAGGGTACTTCTTGTGGTAGAATAATATTGGTTGCTCTGTAGATACTGTTTCAAAATCTCTTACTTATTTTGGTGAGTGTCATAAGAAGCTCTAGTATTTCTGTCAAAATACCCCTGAGTACCAGATCACTGTGAGTCTCAGTGGTGGCAATGAAGTGCTTCTTTATGTACCTTTAATAAGTACTTTTTATTTTTTCTCTTAATGTTCAGTCTCTGTTGTCACACTGTGTTATTCCCAGTGCTAAAGTAACTTCAAATTCATGCTGTTATGACTGTTTATTTTGTTACGATTAATAGGTGTTTATTTTTTTGCTATATGCTTGTATTTAAGCAAGAGATGCTTTCCCACAACATTTTTAGGCTTCTGTGATGTTTCTTCCCAGTAGAAATTGACCCAGCTTTTTTTTCTTATACAAATGAGGCTTGTTAAGAGTTTTTTTATTGAAAGCTAAGAAACTTTTAACTTTTATTGAAAATGTTACATTTTAGATGAATATAATAAGCTTAGTGAATTATGAAGCAGATCACTTTATTCCAATTCTTCCCATGTCTTCTGAAAGACATTATGAAGAACAACTCCTTTAGATGCCAAGCTCGGTGTCTATATTCACAGTCCTGTTGGAGGAGACAGAGCGAAAACAGAAAGGTGCAACCCGAGAAAGTAGAGGAGAAAATCTTGGTAGTTCAAATAAGGCTGCATTGCCAGCTATTGTGTTTTGAAATATTGTCCACAATGGTCAAACCATTCCAATGATGAATGCTTTGTTTTCATTAAGACTAGAACACCATTGCATTATTCTAGCTTTAAAAAAAAAATGCTTAGATGGATATTTTATTTTAACAGTATGCTTTCCTTTAAGTGCTTTTAAGCTGTTTTTTTTTGGTTTGTTTTGGTTTTTTTTCTATTTTATTTAGGGGCATCTTTGTAGCTGCTGTTTACAACAGAGATCTCAATTGCTGGAGTGGGAAATGGCTATTGCATCTTGAATTGCACAGAATTTCTGAAGTGTCAGGGTGAGCTGTGGTGAGCAGCTGAAATATACTTAGATCAGTGGATATTTAATTTCCTCTATGGCACAGTATATTGTTGCACAGTGTAAAGGCATTTGTTTCCTAAGATCCAGGCAAAACAGGTTTCTGTGCTCCATTTCCTGTGTTCTTTGTGACACAATCATGAGCAAAGAGATGCCTGTAAATTATTTTCTTCTATTTTTTTAATTTCATTGCCCACATTAATCTGAAATAGCTCAGTGGCCTGTGGGCCTGGCTGAAGGGTTGCTGAAGCTAAAGCTGGAAAAATGAAGGGGTTGGTGCAGCAGTACTTCTTTTATTAATGGTTTGTTTATGTTCTGATGTTTAAAACATTTTAATCTCTAGCTGTAATTGTTAGTATACCTAGTGAGCAGGCAAGGATTTTATTTTTAAAAAGAAAATAACTCACCGATAAATACAGCTATTTAATATATATAAATAGTGTGTCTGGCCCAATGAGAGACCCGAATACTGTGTTAGTACATAAGACATGGCAAAATGACCACTTTCTGCCCTAAGCAGTTTATGAAGTAGGTGTAGGACACAGTTTTTGCATATGACAGAAAATGTCATGTACTATAAAATATAATTTTTAAGTTTTCTGTGAACAGCAACTACTTAATCTTCCTATTCTTTTTACACGTAGGGTGTTTCATAGAGGCCTGGCAAGTCATACATTCATGCTAAATTATTGATCTCTGACTAATCTTTGAGCATGAGGGTACAACCATTCCCTCTGCAACCTTTTTGTGCTGGTTTTTGACAGTGTCTTGCATTCTGAATACTTGTCCACCAGAATGACATAATGGTAGAATCGGTAAAATTAGAAAATCAGCAGAATTAATCTCTCCAACATATGAAATGTTTTTAGACAGGTAATGTTTTACTTACTGGGAAATTGCTGTCTGTAGTTTGAGAGCTCAAACTTTGAGATCTATTGGTGAATTTGGATTGGATAACCATATTACTTGAAATGTTCCTATTCCTAGTTTTAGTGGGCATCCCAGTGAGAAGAAATGTGCTAAGATGATAGTTTTAAAATGTACATCCTGCTTAATATGATGTTTTCTTTACCTATGACTGTTTTCTCCTGGCTTTTGGGCTATGCTTTTTCACTCATTCACTAGAATATTTGGAGACAGCAAATAAAGAGTAGGATTAACACTTGTTAAATTACTTAAAGTAACAACTGGAATTAATGTTGCAGAAACATTTGTGCAGTCTTTGCCCAGGTTGTGTGTGAGACTGAGTTCTTATAATCTACTGGTATCCAGCTCCTAAACCTTTAGAAACATCGATGTGTTTCCTTGGCCTTCAACTCTTCCCAGCTCCCTTACAGAATTATGACATAATACTGTTAGCAAGATGAGCAAGCTTTAGAGAGTGAAACTAGATTTCTGAATGTTTGACTTGCATCTCTCAGGAAAAGCACTTGTTTATTGCCTTTAAAATATGCTAATTTGGTGAATAAGGTGTGCCAAAAATAAACAAAACTCTGTGAAATGGAATGAACTGTAAATGGTCTGTGTGTTCTTGTCAGCCAGTGCTAGAATTGTAAGATTAAATCCATTGTGTTAGCAAGGCACAGATAGAGAAAGGGCCTTGTTAATTCAGAAATACAGTCTCCCAAGGATACTGTTGTCTATAGCATTGTAGTTGTAAAATGTTTAGCTTCTAAATTCTTTGACTTGTAAAACAACGTCTTTTTCTTACATGGTGCAGATCAACCACTGATCTGCACTGAGATGTGATCCCTGAATTATCCTCACAGTGTTGGTACATCAGCCCAGGCCTGCTTCTTCTATGTACTTACCTATACAGTGCTGAAGTGTTATACAGAGGCAGTGTGAAACACTACTTAGCTATGCACATGGGTGCATGTAGCTAGTAGCAGTTGTGCTGGATGCTCCATCAAAGCCCCCTTTTTTTTCCAGAAGGTGGGAGTTTGGTGGGCTCAGACTTGCGCACTAAAAATAATTAGAGTTCCAAGACAAATTTATGTCTGATTATGATATGAATGGAATTGATTTATTAAAATTTGTTATTGGCTGTTTTTTTTCTGCTTGTTTGCAGGTTGCATGGCCGATACCATGAAATGGCACCAAACGTTGTGCCCATGGACTATACAAAGGACCCAGATGTTAAACTACCTATGCAACTTATAATAAACATGCCTGAGTTAAAGGTATCACTTTTGACTGCTTACAGACTGTATCTTAACTTACCTGGCTTGTCTGCCAGAGCATTTGCCATGTGAGTTTGGTGTCCCAAAGCAAAGCGACATGCTGAGGTCTCACCGTTCCTGTTATTGTTAAAGGGCAAGACCAGCCCCAGAAACTGGAAAATATTTAGGTGGATATCTATCCTGCAAAGACAGTTGGGGTAGATGTTAAAGGAAATGAGTAAGAAATAAAATTAGATTTAACAGTATTTCCACTTTGTATGTATCAATCCCTTAGAAGCCAGTGGGATCTCTCTGTGAAGGGCTTGTTAGAAATCAAAAGTTCTTATCTCAGCATGTTAATAGGAAGTTTGTCAGAGGCATGCAGAAAACTGCTGATCAAAAGTAAAGATTTTCCTCTGTTGCTTTTATTTCTCGGCTGCAAGAACACAATTATTTGTTCACTGTGATAGTTGCATGAAGCTTTCTAAGAGCAGTGCCATAAAAACCTTGTTAATTGATGGCCTTCCGCTTCATTTTAATGATTTAGAAATACTTCCTTAATGTTGTAAGATGTTGAGTATTTGGGGGGGAAAAGTGCAAGCATAAGCAGTGCTTTAGAAATGCAGTTGGGGAGGAGGTTAAGATAGCATAAAGTGAAAGACATCTGAATTTGGTTTAAAGTTAAAGGTTTTCATTTTCCTCTTAGAAGCAATCCATAAGATCTCTTGAATGTGTTTGTAATGCCCCAGTGATATTTGTCTGAGATGATTTAATGCAAGAACCTGCTCTTAGCAGTTACCTGGAACCAGTCATTTGAAGCTTAGCAACTAGTACAAGAGGAAGAAGATTCTTGAAATAGGAATATTTGTCTGACTTACTCAAGTGCAGTCATATTGAATGTATAGCTTACATAAAAATGCAAAGTAGTGTTTAATGGAATGCAATACAACAGAATTACTAATGGCCTTACTTATGTGAATTTAAAATAAACCAGTTTTTTTAGTATTGGCAGGATGAAATAGCATGGGCTTTACAAAGTCTGAATATGTGGGAGCATCTTGAAATATGCTGATGGTTTTCACCCATCTGCTATTTTTGCTTATGTCTGGAAACTGAATTCTTATCTTTGTGACAAAATGTATGATCCTCAATGGGGTGTGATTCATTCATCCATTACTGACAGTAGTTCGTCTTTCTAACATGTCTACAACTCATTCATCACTGTAGTGTCTTAGGGGCTTGTACTGGCACTTCTGGTGTGGATGATCAGTATTCTTAAAATTTTATTATCTTTAGGATCTTGGTAGGGCAATATGAAATTCTCTGGCTCAGTTATGCAACTCTGAAGAGTTTAACTGCCAGATGGCTGAGACTTGCATTGTGAAAAATCAAGGCTAAAATCAGGAAAGAATGCAAGCAACTATAATCACACACGTTCTTTTTGGCTTTGGTGACAAAAGACCAAACACTTAAGGAACAGCTCATTCTATGAAAGCCTTAGAGATGAGAGAGCCCTGTATTTGTGAGGCAGCCTGGTACTTAAGCTGCGACATAAACCGGAAATTTTATACTGCACCATGATTAGATTTTGAGATAGAGGAACACATCTCACTGGCTTAGCAAACTTAGGTGGTAGTGACAATAGACTTCCTAATAAACTTCTGTAAGTAAAGTGGATCATGATCTACCTGCTTGCACCACATGAAGTCTGCGAGGCTTTGTGACCCTGCTTTAGAAGATGTCTCCGGGGTAATGGAGCTTGATTTTATGAAAATAGCAGGACAAAATTCAGCATCAAATTTTATGATAATTCTCTCCCAAGTCTCCTAAAGCTGTATAATAACCTTAGAAATACTGCTGTCAAACCACTTCTTTTATTTCAGGAATTCTAGCAGTTCATAGGCAATGTGTTTTCAGTAATTAGTGAGCTTGTTTCCAGTAAAATATCAGTTAGAGGAGACTAGACCTTCCTCCATAACTCTTTCAAAACACTGACACTAGAGGATATTCAGATGCCACCTAAGGATATCAGTTACAAATTGGGGTCAATCTTGGTCATGGAGCATTTTGCAATTACCTGTACAGAGGGGCCGGGAGTCTTTCCCCTAGAGCTCATTTTCCAAAAAATCTAGGTAGTAACTCCAGTTCATACACTAAGAAAAATATATCTTTAACCTTTGCAACTTGACCAGACTGCTAAATAAGTCGTTATGGTGTTTTCTTTCTTCAGTAAACTTTCATCAAGGTGAAGACAAAGCCAACATTTAAATCTTAAAATAGAAATAAATGAAGTAAATGTCTATTGAATGCTAATAAAATTAGTGGTAAATTCAATGCACCTGGCTTTTTTTCATGTACACATTACATTTCTAGTTACTGGCAATGCTGACCTCAATACCATTGCAGACTCTGACAAATGGATAGAATCAATAATGCACTTTTCTAAATTAGATTCTGCTACTATAAAGAAAGATTTTTACCTCATGCATTAATATTTTGAGCCAGGATTTTTGTGTTTCAAAGAAGAAAAAATGGTCACTCACTTTAATTGGTAATGAATTATTCACAAACTCATGATTCTCAAAAGTTAAAAGCCAGGATACTTTAAGTTGATTAGGTCTATCATTATTATGCTGAAGTTAACAGAGCTAGTTTACTCCCATCTGTTTCATTGCAGTCTCTGTTCTCTAATTTCAACAACTTTTTACACAGGCAGCAGTGAAATAAATTAACTTCAGGGCATATGGATGCCTGTGAGGTTGCAGTAATTAATATTGCAAAACTGTAGCAATTAAATGGGCTGTTCAGCATGAGACCACATAGAAAGTGAAAGTGATTTTATTTCAAAACAAAACTGATTTCACTGGCATTATCCCTGTCAGTTCCACAGGACTAGATGTTGGAATGTGACCTTATGATGGAGATCATGTGTGATCTGTAGGAGTGGGTGGGTGACCATCTTCTTTGAGACACATATGTCCTTAATTGTCAGGATCTTCAAATTGGCGTGTGGCCTGTCTCTGGGCATTGCAGTATAGAGCAATCCTTTTGTCAGGAGTCGGTCTTAAAAGGGCTTCTTGGAGGGGATCCATTTTTGGCTCCTTCACTTTACAGTCGGTTGCTTACTTCATCGATCCCCGCAGGCCTCGTTGTTGGTCGCAGCCGTGAATAAGGTAGTTCACAAATCCGAAACAGAATGGCTGGCATGCACAGGAACCAGTCAGGAGAAAGGAAGGACAGGCAGGGAACAGTGAATCCATCACGTTTCAGAACCACTGCTAGCACCCTATTTTTGTAAGCCTAAACATGAATGCATGGGATTTGCTTCAAAAGGAAGTGAAAACACATCCTACAATCTTAATAGGCTGGAATTTAAAATTTCAAGGGGTCCTTGGTTTCAAATCTTGTCATGTGATGGGCAATAGCACCCCAGAGAGCAAGCTGATCCTCTTATGAAGTCCCCATCCCTGCTCTGGCCAGTCTTGACCTGCAGCTCCCTTCTCTCTGCATCCTGTTAGTTGTTTCTAGTTATGATGGGATGTTTTAGCCCTTTAAGACCACTCTTCTTGCTTCTCTGAAGCCCCTTTTTAAAAGTGTGTCTCAAATCTAAATCTACCTGCTTGATATTCTTTAGCAATATTGTTTGCAGTTTCCTGCTATAGTTAGTGAATCAGGTTTTGTTAAAATGCCTTATTTCCATGATATACTATTATGGTCTGTAATGCTTAAACAATTCTATGTGCAACCAGAATCTTTGGTGGTTTGGCTGTTACGACCATAGTACAGCCTTCAGTAAAGAGGTAAGCTTATTGCTGAACTGTGCTTTCTGACAGGATGGTGTAGGTTTGTGTTGGGTTTGGTTGTTTTTTCTTTTTTTAAGAGGCTAACATAACAATTTAGCTCTGTCGTATCATTGGTTTGTGCAGGGTTTTCCTCCTCAGTACCCTGTAGGCACTTCAGGCACTACTCCTATGGGGGGTCTGATAATGAACAATTTAGACATTTTTATATTCAAATTTGTCTGTTAAGGGTTCATTTCTATTTTTTAGGAATAATTTCTGAAATTTGAGAGAGGTTTGCTTCTGATCAGTTCTTAATAAGTCCTGATTAAAGCATCCAAAGGGATTCTGTCTTTCAGTAGTCTGAAAAGCAGACAGCTTTTGTGCATTTGAGTATCTTCCCTAATGTCAGTAGGGACTTAGTTTAAAATACAAAAGACAAAATGATCATCATGTTTCTGTGGATATAAAACTGAGAAGCATTTTGTAATGATTGTCCAGCATCTCCAGTTTAGTTATCTTGACCTATCTTAACATTTAACTTGCAACCTCTTATTTCCAAAATGTAGTTAGCTTATGAAAATAGGATACAATGCTTTAATTTTCAAGCTGCAAAAAGGACAGGGCAAAAGGAAAGTGCAGTGCTTTCCTGGAAACTGCAGGACAGTAACAAGTGACTTGGTAAGATTTAGCTCCAGTCTTGGGAATAAGCCCTATGATATTTTCTTAGAAGACTAATCGGTATTGTTTATTGTATCGTGTTCTAGGTCTGTATGTTGGAATAGGTGCCATGTAACATTCAAAAATTTACAGAAACAAAATTATCTGACTAGAAAAAGTGATAAAGAGACAGATGGCACATTTAGGAGGATTCTCAAGCCACTACAGCAGCATCAATCTGCAAAACAGCAGAGTTTCAGCTGTGACTATTATTTGTTTCTGTCTCTCCTATAATTTTTATTGAAAGGACAGAAAAAGCTTTTTAAGAAGACAAGTGTAAGTTTCTAGTTTTAAAAGGATTCCTTTTAAGCAATTAGTGCTTAAGGGAAAACAGTGGCTTTTCCTTTAAATATGATGGAATCCTAATCTGTACTCTTTAGAGTAGAGGTAATGAAATTACAGGAAGGATGTGAAAAGTATCTGTGAAGGTAAGCTAATACTTTCCATTGTGTAAGCCACAGATATACTGCCTGAAGACACATAATATGAGAAAGTTAAAGGAAAGAAATCAATATGAGGAAAGATTTTATTTTTCATTTAGGTTTTAGAGATCCATTTTGCAAAGTTACTTGAGAAGTATGCTTAGATCCATTTAATTCATTGTTAATTCATCTGGATGTTTCAAGATCTCTGGTATGCTGAGTAGATAACTCATCTTATGCAACTGCAATATGCTTATTCAGTCAAAGAGATCGTGCCCAGCATTTCTAGTGCAGGAAGTCCTGGGTTAGATATTCACTACTGATAGGGCTGATTACACCTGTGTACTCCCTGTTTGTTACCCAATGCTACCTCTAGGATGTCAGTTTACAACAGTTACCATGACACTTAGTTCTGATGAAGTTTGTTCCAAAGAAAGCAATATAGTATTTTAGAAATAATAATTTTCTAACATGTTTTCTTATCTACTCTGCTATTTAACATTCTCTGATTATAAGCATTTAACAGATATAGCAATTTGGTTTTTAGGAAGAAAGTGAGCCTTTTCCAGAGATTTTAGGAAGTTCAGACTGGCAGAACTTAGATTTAGATATAAGGAAGAAGTTCCTCGCTATAAGAATGGCAAGACACTGGAACAGGTTGCTCAGGGAAGTTGTGGCTGCTCCAACACTGGAGGTGTTCAAGGCCAGACTGGGTGGGGCCTCGCACAATCTGGTCTAGTGGGACATGTCTCTGCCCACGTCAGGGGGGTTGGAACTACGTGATCTTTAAAGTCCCTTCCAACCCAAACCATTCTATGATATTTCAGCCCAAAGATCTTACTTGGGCTTATTAATGACAATTTGAAACAATAGAGTTAATTGTTTTCCACTGAGTGTCTGTGTGTGTTTTCATACTGCAGACAGGCATATTTCCAAGCATCCCAGTCAGATACTTCAGCCTTAGCAGTACCCCCCGATGCACACGTGCTTTACCTCCTCTACACATCATGGACATGATAGAGTGATCATTACATATCCTTTTACAGTAACTTTCAGCCATCTGTCTTATTCTGGGGCGTTTTTCATTCTGAGACTCTTGAGAGGTGACCCTGGTGCTTTTTTGAGGTGGTTGATATTTTATTTTCAGGAATCCCTGTTTTCTAGTCCATATAATGTTGTTTGGTTTTTTTTTTTTATTGGGCCCAGTTTGTTCTTATCTAAACAGTGAACTCAGCCTTATGTATTCAGCACAGTGCACAGTGAGCTCATTAATCGCTAACCCTTTGCAATCTGTAGGCATGCTCTCTCTTGTGGAATTACTTCAGTTATGGAACCCTGCAGGACAATTTGAATTTAGTATTGACTACTTTAATGGGATGTCATTTGAGCCTAAGGCTCTGTTGTCCCTGCTTCATGTATCCATTAAAACAGCCTTATTCCTGGCTGTTATGTCAGCCAGAAAGACTGGAGAGACCTTGGCATTTTGTAGTGAATTTTGAATCTTGATTGTCTAGGGGAATTCCACTTCCAATATCTGTTTCTCGTGTCTCACCCATCTTCAGAAGACTGACACACACACTTGCAGTTTGTCATTAGATAGATGTTTGCCTTTTGGCAGATTCCATCTAATTTCTGCCATGGAAGTAATCACGGAGCACAAACTGCAAGACCCAAAGGCATCTCACTAGGTAGCTGATGTATCCCAAGTGCTTTATTGTCATTAAATAGAAACCTTCTGACAGAATCAGGTGTGCTCTCTGGCCAGTATAGTGAATGGCCAGTATAGCTTCTGTGAAAAAATATCTCCAGCTTTCAGCTGGGATGAAAATTGTTCTTCAATTTGCCAGGTGGCGTGACTTGACAAAGGTATGTTGGCATGGTGTAGTCTTGATAAATCCATGCCTTGTACTCAAATGTCCGACTACTTCTCTGTACTCGCATCCTGGAATTAGACACTGCAAAGGGTTATCTCATGGTGTGAATCTATGCATTGGCCTAACACCTGAAGAAAAAAGGAAGACTGCTTTCCAGGAACTGAATGTTCTGTGAACTGTCCATGAGCACAGTCACATCTCACATTTCTCTTAGAGAAACAGCGTTTGTATGTTAGGCTTGTCTTTTAACAAGAACCCTTAAAACTTTTTTATTATCTGAGGCTGTAAGAAAATGTATCTTAAATGTTTTCTCTGTGTGGGTAACAAATTTCATTATGCTTCCAAGTTCCATGTGTGATTTCAGTTGAACATCTTTATCTTCAGTTCTTGTTGTAAGCCACTGTATGCCACTTAAAAGTCAATTGCCCTTCAGAGGCAGCTGCATATTAGAGGTAAGTAGCCCAATTTTTGTAACATATTTTATTCCTTTAAGATGAAGGATACTGTAAAGATATAAACCATCGGTCTGTTCACATAACTGCTTCCTATGTGCTGCTTGTATATTTTTAGTTTGCTTGTACTTCTTTAGTCTACATTGGTATGCAGAAATGAGTTCTATATATGCATCAGTTCTGTTTGTGAATTATCAAGAACAAATTCAAGTTAACTGAAAAATAACATTTTTTCTGGTCATTTACCTCTCCAGTATAGATGTTTTATGAAATTTCATTTAAAGTAATAAGACGGTTTATGAATACCCGCTAGCTAATTAAACTTACAGAAAAAAAGAAATTAAATTGTTATATGACTGAGCTCTGAGCTTTTACAGGACTGCTTCTTTTAAAGCCAAATAAAATGCAGCATGCATATTAGAAATAAAGAACATAATATGCCACCACCAAAGCTGTTTACATTTATAGGAGATCAATATGTAAATCAGTGTCTTGAGTTCAGGTAAGATCTGTAGAACAAATTTGATGAGGTGCTGCTCACAGCCCAGATCATATTTGTGGTTTGTTTTTTTTTTTTTTTTCATATTGAACTGTATTGAATTGATTTCCCCAGTTTTATAGAAATTCATACAGACACAAATTCATCTTGGGTTTCTGTATAGCTGTGGGAAAGACACTGGTTTGTTACTATAAAAACATTTGTTTTGCACTTTGGAGTAATAAAGCAATTTTCCTTACGCTGGCTTGTGTATTTATGGTTTTACAATATTTTCATACTCAGAGTAGCCTTCACACCAACTGTTTTGGTAGGGTGCTGGAACAGGATCATCTCCTGTGGAGAAAAAATTTCATTTAAAAATTTGACTGACTCTGTTCAACCAGAGGCTGGACATTCATGTGTGTCAGAGTGAAAATGAAAGACTTTTCTACAAGGTTCTACTGGGATGTGACTCTACATCGTTAATGAACAGACATGAGTTGTTTGATGGTTGATTGATGGTTCCACATCTATTAGGTGTGAATACAGTTTTTTACTTTTTAAATAATATTTGTTCCTCCAGCCTCAGAAGGTGCCTGGAAGTCATGTGCCACCAGAAGGCATAAAGACCCTGCTTGTTTCATCAGCATTCCACCTTGGTCTGTTTTCTTCCCATCCTGTCATCCCATGTTTGTGTGTGCAAGCTTCTTAATGTAGGAGCTGGAATCCTTCTGACTGGTCTTTCTAACATCCTCTCAGGAACCTGTTATAAGCAGATGATCTTCACACTCTTAGTACCTTTATCCTAACATTTATAAGGCCTGTGTTCCACACAGGAGAAATGAGATGGGCAGTGGTTTAGAGAGAATGAATAACAATGGAGCTGAGAAAATCTGAGCAAGAAGTGGTACTATGCAGCAGCATGTTCTGCTGGTATTTTCTGATAAAGCATAGGAATGTCAATTTTTAAATGCGTTTTGGAAGGAAAAAAAAGTTTTCTTCAGAGAGCAAACCATGGAATTAAATACTCATCAACAAGGAGTCTGCAGATTTTTTTTATCTTCCAAATACTTAAAAAAAGCAAAAGAAAAAACAAACAAACAAACTTAAAAAAATCTGTTTTTCACAGGAGAATCCCTTCAAGGAAAGGATTGTGGAATCTTTCTCAGAAGATGGAGAGGGGAGCCTCAGCTTCAATGATTTTGTGGATATGTTCTCTGTCCTCAGTGAAATGGCTCCCAGAGAGCTTAAAGCAATCTATGCTTTCAAGATCTATGGTATGGTATTGGGATGCTTTTGTATGCCTTTTTTGTTTGAAGTAAATGAGTTGAGTATGAGAGTTGATGGTGATCCTTCTGTTGGTTCTTTTATTGTTTAGATTTTAACACAGATAACTTCATCTGTAAATCAGACTTAGAAAAAACTCTCAATAAGCTGACCCGAGAAGAGCTAACAGCAGAAGAAATAACTCTAGTTTGTGAAAAAGTGATAGAAGAAGCTGACATGGATGGTGATGGGAAACTAGGATTTGCAGATTTTGAAAACATGATTTCCAAAGCACCGGACTTTCTCAGGTATTGCCTTAAGAAAAAGAAGATAGTCTCTTGCATATTTTCAGGTATTATTTTTAGGATGTTGCTGCATAGTGTAATGCAAGAAATGTCAGACAAAAGTACTTTACTGGGGAGCTGACTAAAAGATGACTTCTTACCCTAACTCAGTGTACTTTTCTGGAGCATATTCTAGTTCTCTCATAACTTGAAGACTAAGAGCTCAATGTCTTCAACTCCTTTTTTTTTTTTTCTTGCTTATTTGGTTTCTTCTGAAAAATTATAAGCTCAAATCGATATTGGACTCAAGACTATATCAAGGATCTATGCTCTCTGAACAGGAGTATGTGTGTAAATATTGTATGCATGTTACAAATACACATTGAAACACATTGATCATTTGTGTGGAGATGGTGAGAGCTAGAGGACATTACAGTGGGTGTAGTTCATGCTGGTAACAAAAATAAAATTAATTACTGCAGTCTTTCTTTGATCTACTGTTAATCAGGGGGGTTTGTAACTGATAGTTGTAATTTTTGTTGTGGAGTTTCTTCCTAATAATCTGTAGTTAAGGCCCGGCTATCTTAAGACAGTTTTTCTTGCCCATTTTGTACCTAAAGAAACATGTTGAAAAGGACAGTGGCTTTTTATTTTTACAGATTAATAAAACAGTCTACATAAACTTATAGTTAAGGCTCTTACTTAAATAATACAAGGATAGACCTTCTTTATGAAATTACAGTGAACCAGCCAGCAAAAATAAGGTACTCCCAGACTAGGAGGAATTAATATTTGAATCTGATATCCACTGGCAGAGTAGGCTGAAGCTAAAATCTAGGTCTAATTTGTCTCCAAATTTCAGTGGTCTGGGTTAACTATGTCTAATAGTAAATACTTGATAACCTGAAAAAGGTTTTTTTTTCATAATCCTTGTTTATAGACATTGTTGTTAAGTTGGTAGTGTTGCTGTGTTGTGGTTTGAGGCTTGGAATGGGGTCGTGACCTTCCAGCAACTGGGAGGACCCCGGATGGGGGTGAACCATTGTATTCCCTCCCCTTCCCACACACACTCTGATAAGAGGCAGGGAGTGGTTTCTAATTTCACTCCTGCCTTGGAGCTCGGAGAGGAAAGTTGTCCTTTCACTCCGTGGGACCCTGGAACCATTTCTGAGGGTTTTGTATATTTTATTTTTTGTATTATTCCCCTAATCTTTGTATATATTATTTTCCTTACCTCCCTTTTTCATTTTCTGTTCCTTGTTGAACAATATACTTCATTTTTTTTTTTTTTCAAAAGTGTCTCTCTCTCTCTCTCAAGGGGGGGGGCAGAGGCGAGTACATAGTTCTGTTCCGTGTGGGGCCTGCCCTGAACCCCTTTTTACACGGAACCAGGACATGCTGTTTGGTGACAATTGGTAATAACACAAGTTTTAACATCGGGGAAGATAAATAATCTAACAATTGTCTGGACTGGGAGCAGGTATGCAGTATGATTGCACATTGTTTTGGGAATGTTGGAATTAGTAAATTCCACTTTCTGCAGACTTGTGCCTCCTGGTTAGTTGACCGATATCTGAGAAGTTCAGGGTCTTTTTTACCTAGGGCACAAAAACTGGTTCATCTATGTAGATTTTTCTGATATCTAGAAAGGTGTGGAATGATTTTACATCTTTCTATGAAGTGGACACTTAGACTCTTTTACACAGCTACCTGTTTGCAGGAAAATGACAGAAACTTAATCAGTCCCAAGTTGTTGAATTCTACCAAAGGATTCAGAAGTTAATGGGGAGGATTAACAAAGCTCACAGTCAGACTGATTGAGACTGTATTTTCCTAGGGAATAAGGCTAAACATTAGGATAGAATTAAGACAGATCAAAATTTGGACTGATTATCTTAATGATGTTGAAGTTTTAAGTGTCCTTGCAGAACACAGAATGGTTTTTCTTTCATAAATGAAAATTCTGAGGAAAGACATTGAATGATTCTACTATAAAGCATGAGGATATGACACCTATGAACCATGAGAAACTTCAGCATCTTGGGAGGATGTGCTACAAAGTGAATGTGAATGTCTTTTATACATTAGAAACCTATCAGGCATTCCTTGGCTAATCAAGTGTATCAACAGAAACTCTTTTAGAACAAGAAACATATCATCATTATGGCGAGGCTTAGTTAAGTAGGTATTTTAATATTTTGTTTACATGTATTTCCAGCTAAGAAAATGTTTTCTTTATACTGTTATCCATATAGAAGGTGCTGGGGTCAGATAGTGTTTCCTTTAATCAATCAAAAGGCTGTACTGTACCTACAAATCTGGTAGAGAACAAAGATCAAAAGTGGAGAATTGAAGGCAGATTTGAAGACTCAGCAGAAGCTGTGGTTTCAGAAATTTCCTGTGCCATGACTGTCTTTCCTGCTGTCTTGTAGAGGCTCATGAACTGCTGACAGAATGCCAAGCTGAGGATACTATGCAATCCAGTCATTTCCTGAGAAAGCAGCAGAGGGGAGTATTTGCCTCTGTAGCTATTGGAATGATTGTCGTAATTATTTTTCTTTTCCCAAGTTTATGATGTTTTGGGAAGTGGAAAGACCTGAGTGCTGGGTACTTGATACGGCAAGAAGATCAGTAAAAAGAGGAATGAGAAGTACAGAACCTGTTGTAGATCACGTAAAGAGGAAATAGAGAGGGAGGGATCAGACAGCACCGATAATCTCAAAGGGGCAGGCTAACAAGTGTTGGAAGACTGGTCATCCAATTGCTCAGTTTAAACACGTATACTTTGATCTGTGTTTGTGACATAGTGAACTCATGTTATCAAGGTGTCTCCTTGATGTTCAAGACAGCAATGTGTGTATTTAAAGCACATTTTTTTTTCTATCCCTGGATACAAGAGAAGTGGTAACTTCCCTCTCCTTTCAAGTCTAGGAAATTAACTAGGTCACAGGATTCAGCTCGGAAGTTGTCAGACTTAAGAGCTCCTGATATGACTTGACCTAAAGAAGGGTTTCCTTCCATTTTCTAGCTAAAACAATGTTTAGAGCCTCTGACTGTTAACTCAGCAACGTGGTTTTTAACCTTTGAAGCTATAGTGCGAGATGGGGGTGTAAATGGGAAAAGTCTGAGAGCTGAGAATAGAATGTGTAGTTTTTCTGATCAGGTTTCTGTTTCAGCCATGGTTAATAGCTGCAGAAAAAGAAGGTAACAAGGTCATGAGACCTCTTTTATCCAGACTAATCTGTATGGAGGAATTGACACTTCTCCCTTACTGTGGTTTGATATTCATTTTGCCTGTAACAGTATTTTATTTTTTGAGAACATTCTTAGTCATATTTTTGCTGTATGCATGGCATCATGGACTGACACATTTGTTAAAACTGAACTTCTTTAATTGATCTTAGCTGCTTACCCTCATTTTTGAAATACTGTGTAAATGTTGCATTCTGAAAAGAGACAGTGATTTGACTTTTGGAATGGGATCCATTGAATTTTAATGCCACAGTTGGTATGCCAAGGTCTGAATTGGGACTGAAACTGAACCAGGGCTCTCTGATAGTAGCAATGTGTGCTGGCATGTGGCAGGATGTGTGACATGGGACAAGAGTACAATTCCCGTAGATAATCTCTCACCATGAAACACCCAGCTCCTTTTTGAGTTCAATTATACCATAACAATCTTGGACACATTATCTATTCGTTTAATGAAACAATGCTTTCTTTTGTCTTTCTCAGTTTATCTCCAGCTCAATTCATGACCTCTCATTTTCCTCTCTTCTTTGTCTTCAGCTGTAATTGTCCTCTATAGTCATAACCATAGGCCATGTGCAGCCAAACTGAAGACAGGGCTGTGCAGTTTCACCATGTAATATTATACGGAGCATGCAAAGCACAGGAGGTGTCTTAATAGTGGGCCAGCAACCCTACATGCCTCCGGTAAACTTATGCCTGCACTATCTTTTTAATACTGTAAAAAGATATAAAGATATGTTTTCATGTAAATAAAACTGTCCCTTTTGAAATGTTCAGCAGATACATGGAAGAAATACCAACCCAATGGTGTCCAGAGATGGTCATAAATATCATTTGGTTTTGCATAGCTCCACTTTTTGTGCCCAACTGAATGCATTCCAGACTGTAAATTCAAGGAAGCTTAAGTGCCTATTGATTTATGCTTTCAGCTGCTCAACAGCTGTGAAAATTAAACACCCTTAAGAACCAAAGCAATAGCCACTTTTGAAAATTACACCAGTTAGCAATTGAAGATGCTGGGTAACTGCAGTTTTCAGGGACTTGGCTGTGAAGCTATGGAAAATAAACATTTAGAGTCATAGTTTTCTGAGTATCTAATCCCAGAATACCATACTGGCACCTGATATGTGATCTTTTTGAAAATGTTGACTAACTTGCCAGACTCTGGATGATTTTTATTTGTAGTAAAGGATTTCTAATTCTGTCCTTTTCCTTCTCTACCACCAGAAGCCACTTGTTCATATCATGAGAGTTGGAAACTTAGGATGCAAACCAGTTTGCTTTTATCCCTGGCTCTGCCATTGCTTGAGCAGGTCATCTCTGCTAAGCCATAGATGATTTTGTTTGCTCTGCTCTGTTATGTGTTTTATATATTAAAATGAAGTATGAAATTACTGAGGAGGAGTACCTTCTTCACCTTGTTTGTGCACAGCCTTTGAAGGCCAGATTCCCATAACCACGTGAACTCTGGCTTAGAAGCACTCTTTTTTTCACACAGCTCAATATGTTGGATTTTTTTGAGCTGTCAAACTATCCTGCCTACTTTGTGTAGATATATATATATGTGTACATATATGCACAGCAGGTATTCATTTTGGTACCATGATCCAGACTTTAACCTGGTATGAGCTAAAATTCATCTACTGTTCGTTAACCAGTTTTCTGTATCTCATCACTCATTTCTCAAACCTTTACTTAAATGACCCTGTGTAGGTTTAATCTCCTACAGACAGGCTTTGCAAGCTTTGTCCTACTGTCAAGCAAATGAAGATACAGTAAAGTCTGTTGCTTGATTTGCACTGCTATGGTTGAGGAGTTTTTTTAAGACGAGAAGAAAATGCTACTCATCGTTGACCAGGGAAGAGGATATATGCTTTTTTGGCTGTTGCCCTGAAAGCCTGAGTAAGCTGTAAATGATAATGGCAGTTGCTAGTTCAGGAAATTTCATCCCAGTAGGTTTATTTCACTCAAAATTGCTATTGTTAAGAAGCTGCTTGTAGCTTAATGGAAGTAGTAGCAGTCTGAACTGGCATTAGCTAAGTGTTCTGTTCTACAAGACTGGTTATGTTTTCCACAGGAAATTGTTTTATGAATCATTCTGGAAGTTAAGGCTATCTGAATGCCTGGGGGTGAAACATACGATAATAATTTGAAATGGAGTTTGAGAAGAATGTGGCATTAGTAACACCTGGGAGGTGCCAGAACTACACAGAGAAACAACAGATTAAACAAAGAGATGTCATCGGAAATGCGGAATTTCTGAAACCTTTGTGGGCCTTTACCCATATAACAGATGATGTCCTGACTCCATTACTACCTAAAGCTGAAGTAACAGAAGGTCTCTTACAGCATATAGACATCTCATAAGACCTGTCCCAATGTGCAGATTATCTAGTTCTTAAGGACTCAAATTAGAGCTAGTGACAAATGGGCAAGAGATGCTCGGCAAGAAAACAGTGAAAGGGAGTAATTTTTGTCAGTATTTTTCACAGAATATTTCAGCTGCTTCTTAGTAAAGAGCTTAATCTCTGAAGGCTGAAATGACACTCTAATAGAAATACCAAAAAAAATTCCAATAAGTAGATTTCCAGTGAAGTGGATTTAGATAGATTTTAGGTATGACTCCTTTAAAAAAACAAACCAAAAAAGAGATGTTTTCACATACACTACTGTGGATTTTTTAGTTGCTAGACATTGCCTATGTGGGACTTAAATATTCAAGAGTTTGGATTAATATGGGGCTCTAGACATTTCTTGAGTTGTGAACAAGGTGTTTATGATGGCTTTTTTCTAAAACCTTAGTGCCAATAAGCTCTTTGTATCACTGTATGCTTTCTTTCGCAATACTTAGAGCAATACGCCACACTGCTGTACATCATATCATTCAGTGTCACCCATACTGAATAAATTCCTAGATACAAAGTTCCTAGGGACCACTATGAATATAAAATTTTATCTTCTCCAAATACATACCACAGAGCTTCCCTCAGTGAATTCCTGGTTCAAATCAAGTAGCTGTGATTAAGTTAGAATATTCTTTTTGTAAAACAAAATCTAAACCCTGTACATCCAGACCTCTTCAGACTCTCAAATACCCCAAACATTTAAAGTTCTTTTTTGGTGTAGGCATAAAAATTATAGTATTTATGTATGAAAATACATAATAATCCATTCTGATTCCAGTCAAGAAAAAAACTCAAACATACAGTTTATACTGCTGTGACATTGAACAGAGATTACTACCTGGAGAAAGTGAGCTTTCAGCATGCCCTCTTTAAATTGTCTTTTTTTACTGGTGTGCTGAGATGCTCAGGAGTTCTTCTAAACACTAATGGCAGTAATAAGGCATGCTGCTCGCCTGTATCATAGTGCAAATAGAAAGAAGATAACAGTATCTCTTGTTCTTACCAAGAGGAAAAAAAAAATAATATCTGCCTAATTTGACTTGTTCAGGAACTCAAATGCTGCGCCATAGCAAAAGTACTACTGGGAAACATCTAGATCTGCTGTATATCCAATAAAGAGGTCAATTTATGCTTGATTTAATCCAGTGCTGAGCTTGGTCCCCTGTCCTAACATTTTCAAAAGCTGGAAATTTCTCTCAGAATGTTAAAATCTTCCTGAGAGCATGAGATAAGAGATTCAGATTTATTACACTGCATCTTCTTGTTTGTTCTTTAAGGAAAATATGCATAGTGACAAGTGTGTTTATATCGCATAATCTTTTTTTGTTTGTTTGTTTCCTTTGCAGTACTTTCCACATAAGAATCTGAGGATGTTTCTGAGAGCCCGTGTTATCAGAAATGACTTGCTGATCCAGCCTTTCTGAATCTCAGGCACTCTGGGGGCTTTTGTCCTCTAATTTTGGCTTCTTAGAACTCAGCAGAAAGTACTGAAATAATTCTGGTCCACAAGAGACAGGTGCATCATGTGATTTACAGGATATTTGGAACAGTCATATTTTTATCTTCACTGCTGGCCAAGCACCCTGGCAAAGATGGTTGGTTGTTGGGTTCTTCATTTTCTCTTTTTTTTTTTTAAAAAAAAAAGATGGGCAGAATCAGAATATTATTAAGGATATTTCACATAGATTTTATATTTATGAATATTTAGTACTGCTCTTGAAAGTGCAAAAAAAAAAAAAAGTTTGACAGAAATATTAGCTTTGGTGACTTTTCCAAGAGTATTTGAAAGAAAGCATGGGCCTTAAATAATGAGATGCCTCTATCACTGTGTTGTACAGCTGGGAATCTTGAAGGGAAAACATCTTAGGTGAAAATCACAGTCAAGACCAAGCTCCCAGTGTTGAAGACAACCACATCCCAGGTTTGCCTTTCTGTCACTGAAATGGAAGCTGCTGGGTTTGGTGCTTACCTTCAACCAAGATTTTATGGATTATCATGTCCTTTTGAAACTTGAAATATTTGCCTTTTATATATAACTGCATACATCATTGATTTCTCCCCAAGATAAACATTATAACTGTGTCCTTATTCTCCAAGGGGGTCCTGCATTTTACTCATTCTATGGCCTGATAATGTTGAATGGAAGAATATGATCATCTGTAACTCATGAAGAAGTTAAAGAAGCACACAACTACCATTAAGGACATGAAAAGACATTTTATTTCTAAACCAGCTATGCAATCTTGCCCATAAAATGCATGAATGCAGCTCTATATTTCTCTTCCCTCTCCAGATGGAAATCAGCTATATCTTTTTTTTAAAAATTTTATTTAAAATTGACTTCCAGTATTGTTTAGGTACTGGGGACTGAAGACAATCATATGTGTATATATATATGTATTACTGTTCTAACAGTCAATAGAAGGGCTCTGTCATTTACATGGCTTCTGTATCAAGGTCGTCACAATTAAAACTTTTGATGCATTCTGTCATGCTTTGAGAGTTTTTGGGCTAAATACATACTAATTTCTTTTCTGGTTGTTATTCCACTTACTGTAAAGTTAAGTCTTTCAAAGAGTGAAATGTGTTATTCAAAAAGTTGTTAAAGTAGAGAAGTTAATCCTTTTACCATTTCTGTAGGGATGATGCTGCATATTTACCTTGGAACAATGGTGCAATATAGCTGGCTGTTCAAATTTCCACACTATGCATCAAGAAGAAATATTTACCTAGCATAATGGCTAGCATTAAAAGTGTCAAAGGAAATTTTGGATATTCAAGGTATACAGGACAGACTTGTCTAAGATAGCACAGTGCAAGTGAAAGTTGTATGTGAGTAATAACATTTATTTTAAAATTTTTTAGAGTGATCATATTGAGTGATATTAATGGCATTTTAATACTTCCTCCTATTGATTTATCTTTAGATAAAGGAATTAGAGCCTGAATTACCTTTGATTTATTTAACCAAGTTAAAATTAGCATAAATCAATCGTGATATTTGTGTCTGATTAAGAAGATATTCAAGCCTCAATCTTTTTAATTTCAAGCAGATTACATTAGATATATTGTTTGATTCAAACAATTTCTAACTTACTGACGATAAGAAAGATTAAGTTAAAATTACTTCCGATTCATTGAAATGTCAGCCTCTAATAGTTTTTTCTTTCTTTCAAGGCACATTTAATCTTGAAAGCCTTATGAAGTGTGTTTTTCTCTTGTAATTAGTATGTATTGTAAAATACTGGGTTGCAAGACTCTGGACCAGCTTATTCAGACAAAAAAGTATCTGGTGCTGATGACATAGATCAGTTCCTTTTGACATCAGCTTTTTATATATTTTAATTTTTTTGTTAGCTAAAATTATTTTCTTCCTGACGCTGTGTGTCATTCCACAATTAGACCATCCTTCACACTTAAAGGAAGACCTTAGTTGCCTTGAAATGTGCTCAGTGTTGTTTCCCTGTGTCCTTCATGACCTGAATGAATGTCACAAAGCAGTTGGAGACACTTGGCTTTGCACTCATATGTTAAACCCTGGAGTCATCCGAGATCAGAAACAAAGAGAAAAAGATATCAGGAGCACCCTGTGAAGAAATGTTCCTGTCCACAGTTAAAGGAGAATTTTTGCAGAATATGGCTTTGGCTTATAGAATCATAGAATCCTTTAGATT